AACATTATTATTATAATTAATAAAATCTATTCAAACAACCAAGAATATTGCCAAAGTTGATCATTACGCACAAAAAATAATATCGAATAAAAGAGAACCTTCTCTTTTTTGAAAACGTTTTAAATAAATTATGTTCTCAGACATGGAATATTATTCCCATTTTTAGGGTACCGCAGCAAAAAATTACAAAGAAACCCTTATGATGCGATTGTGTCCGTCCGTACGTCCCTCTATTTGTCACAGCGTTATTGTTTTGAGACTACTAATGCAATCAATCTGAAATTTGGAGTAATTTTACATATCATCAACCCATACATATTGCAATTAAAATAACTAAAATAATATTTCAGACACATTTTTAATAATCTCTATTCTATTTTTAGCATCTCTAACTTCTTTATGAAGGTCATTTTATCTTACATTTAAATATTTATGTATGGTGGTACCCTCGGCGTGTAAGTGCAACTCATACCTAACTGGTTTTATTAATAATTTAGTTTATGATAGAGAACGTATGAGACAGTATATATAAATTAAGAATAATACTATAGCCAGAAAAATCACGTGTGTGTGATGTCAATATTCAGTATTTCTAAAAATCCAATTAAAATGCAAAATCAAAGTAAAATAAAGATAAATAACATACCTATCCAAAATATTAAGAACTTTAAATACTTAGAAATTATAATCACAGAGGCCATTAGGTGCGTATTGGATATTAGAACTAGAGTAACAGTCGCAAAACAGGCCTATATTAACAAAAAAAAAACATATATTTACATCAAAAATAGTCTGTGAGAAAAACGTACATTTGGAGTATAACATTATATCTTTATAGTCGTAGAATACTGACGGATCTTTATATGTAATCTTTGTCAGATCTGTCAGTATTCTATGACTATGACGATATGGGTGTCAAACATGGACAATGACGCAAAAGAAAAGAAAGATGCTTAAGGCATTAAAAATGTGGACACGGAGGGAAATAGAAAGGATAGGCTGAACAGAAAAAGTAACGAATGATGAAGTCTTGAAAAGGGTGAATGAGAAAAGAACATTAATAAAAACAATGGAAAATAGAAGCAAAATGCTGGGCTTCCTTATACGACATGACAATTTTTAAAGAAATTAAAGAGAGAAAAATAGAGGCAAAAGAGAAAGAGGAAGACCGAGGAATAACTACTCGTACATGGGATAGACTGAAAGAAAATGCATAAATTTGTTGCAACGACAAATGAAAACTCTTATATGAAAAGGAAGAAGAATGTCAATACAACTACCTATAAGACAAATATCGATTTAGCATTATAGCAGTTGACTATCTCTATCGAATGTCCAATTCATTACAAAGTAGTTAAGAGTGCGCGTTTTATGGCATTCCTTACCTGGGGTCTTGTTAACACACGGCCGAACTACGGCATTAAATTCGTTTATAGGCCCTATAGGTACACTTATTTGGCTCGCTACTTAAACTTAATGAAGGTTCGGAATTACGTACATATTAACTGCTTAAAACATTCACCTTATGTACGGCTTAGGCCTTGGTAACAATGAAACAACGTATTTAAATAACTTATATTTAGGCATATATTTTTATTCGATATAAAACAATAAACATGTTAACAAATTTGATTGAAAATATGCTATAAGCACAATAGCATACTCCATTATAGAATATTACCAATAATTTCAGAGCCTTACCTATTTCTTTTAAAATAAAACACAATCATAAAGATGAATAAAATGTTGGACACGACTATATAAGTACAGTGAAATTATTTCATATCTACTTTTTTATGCAACTTGGAATATCAAATAAGCTATCGGGTTATTTGTTATGCCCATCTAATAGAAAATGATCATGGGCATCATGGGATACCATCAGGAAGCCATATTACACCTTATACGTAACCGTTCCTCCCATTCTATTATCTCAATCATTGTTATGCCTCTTGACCATATAATTTCACTACCAAATTTCACCTTTCAAACCGAAACATAGTCATGCAAACACAACTGCTTGGCCATAGAAACCATATCTATTGTTTGAATAAAAAACTACTTAAGTATGTATTAATCAACAATAACTTATAATTTTCCAAAATTAACAGTTGGGACTGTCGTTACTTTCACTTACATGAGCGAATAAAATAAAACTAAAGCTACTTAAATATATTAACTATTCAGTCTATAATAAAAATAGGTGCCTCGTTATGACACGGGACGAACGTCAAAGATTAAACTACTAAAATATTGAATATTATTCTACAATATAAAAAATCTTTAATTGTTAAGACATATTTTGAAGCCAACAATAACGGAATTAAAACTCTATCCAAGGTTCATATAACTAATTTGGCAATAGTGGTAATGTCTTCATCTCCGGAGGAGACTCCCATGCTATAGCTTGCTTACGTACGTTTTTACTACGTAACTTATACCCAGTAGATAGCATTATTTCGTTTCAATAAGTATGGGTAAACATATATGTATATGCCATTTAATTTACATTTCTTCGTGATATTTAACGGAAATAAAAAAAAAATAGGTACAAATATATTTTTACAAAGACTCAAAAATTTATTTTGAAACTGGAACTGCGTCTGTGACCGTCCATGTGGAAAACCCTTTGATACATTATCAGATGGAGACGCAACTCTACTGAAGTGAAATAAATGAAATCAAAGACCTATCTGCTTCCACTTTAAGTTTCTACAGTTCAAGCAACTGAACGTTGGCAGCTGTGACGTAACCCGAAAGCCTTATGAATTATTTAAAAGGGAATCGTCCTCCGTCAGACATTTGAATTATTTTGAAGCCCTTGCTTGTGCATAATTAAGTACACCGTATTTTACTGTGACACTTTTACAAGCAAGGTCTGGTGGTAATTGGGAATTTGCAAATTTGCTAATTTATTACCACACTTGGACGTCCCAGTTAAGGAACACATTCTGGTGAAACGACACCTGCACGCTCCACGAAAAGTTCTCACTGCTTGAAAGTTCCCTCGCATAAAGATCACGTTACACCAAATGACGTTATATAAACCGAATGAACGGGTAGGTTCCGAGATGAAACTAAGAAAGTGAGGAAAAATTTATAAGATATCCAGAATATATAAATACAAATTTTAGTAAGTCACAAGTATTTAATTCTTTATTATACACACCAGTTATTTATAAAAATATAACAGAGGTAATCAAATGCTCAAAGGCTAGCTTAACTCTAATAAAATTCTCTCCCAGCAAACCCAAAGTGGAAAGGAGCATCAATGTCATCGGGTAGAGCGGTGTACAATATTGTGACAATTTTAAACAAAGAAACTAGACAAATTAAATTAATTACATTATACTTAATCGTATAAATACACATATAGATAAATATATACTTACACCTGCCACACTGCATATACTGCATATACTTACACATACATACAAACACATATACATATAATGTACCTACATATATACACGAATAAATATATGTTCATAGAGATAGAAGATGATCTTTAAGTCTACTCTTAAAAATATTTAGAGATTGACTATCATGGGTAGATATGAGAAGAGAATTCCACAATCTAGCAGCGTAGACGGTAAAAGATCCACTATAGCGCGTAGATAAATGTTTTAAAGGATTTTGAGGATATGAGATTTCGTCGAACGAGAGAGGTAATTTAAGACATCGTAGAAATCAAATTTTATTTATAATTTTGTGTGTTCAAATGGATTTAAAAAACATCGCACATTCATATAGCGAATTTTTTTTATCTATCTATACTAGTATGAGAAAGATGAACGATTTGATTGTTTTAAATACGTTTGTGCACGCTAATCTCAGAAAACGCTTGACCTATTTGAATGCAATATTCACTAATGTTTTGCAGTTTACTCCACTTAACTTTTAATGTTTGTTTTATTTCGATGAGTTCATAAATAAAAAAGTTACATCAATTTAAAGAATCATATATAAAATAACAGATCAGTTGAATTGGCTCAAACTTTTTTATTATTTGTATTGATTTTCGAAAATTCTGTCTACTAGTGCGAAGCGGGGTCAAATCGCTAGTGTATTAATAAAATAGCGACTAATTTCAAGTTTTTAAAAAGGAACACATATTTTATGTCTACACTCATATATAAGCGAAACTTACATTACATAGATAGTCTTCATACGAATGCTTCGAGAAAAACGGGTTAACTTTATCATACAATTGTACGTGATAAATAGTTATGAATGTTTCATTTATAACTTCTATATTTATTTTATTTTATAATTTTTTAATCTTTTTAATGCATAAAACTATTTATTAAATATGGACACGTCAAGAAACATTATATGCGTAAGTATATAGAACATTGATAAAAAAAACGAGTCAGCTAATTTGAGAATTAGCTGACAACAAGTTGACCCATTTTTGAGATTCGATGCTCTATCTATATAATCTATGAAGGCAAAGTATTCAGTAAAGATAAGAACATTATGAACAGATTATTTTGTTGTTTTAAATATATTCGTAAAAATTTTGTATTGTATTTATTTTTCAATTTAACCTTACAATATATATTATTACATTTACTTAGTAATAAATGTACATTTTGTTAATTCTATTCAAGCAGCATAGATAGAATGTTGAACAATTTTTAACTAAGTATTTGTATTGAAATTAGGGATGGATAACATTTGGCATTATCTATATATTTTAATTACAATACCTATATACTGGCCCAATAACGAATATGTTAAAAGTCTGTTATCTAAAAAATAATATCCGAGAATTGATTTTTAACTTATTCTATATAATATACGCAATATCAAAATGGGTGCTGACCTTTATTTTACCATCGATAATCCTGAGGAACCCAATATACAGATCATATATATATATATATATATATATATATATATATATATATATATATATATATATATATATATATATATATATATATATATATATATATATATATATATATATATATTACCTCTAAAAAAAAAAAAAAAGCTCTGCCTATATAATCTAAGATGACTGAACTGAAGAGACGCTGTTAAGACATGATTTCGCTTTTTAAATTCAAATCCATTATCAATCTATCACATCTCTAAGATTTCATCATTCATATAGGTGTGTTTTGCAATCACTGCTTTAGGATAAACAAAATATTCTTGTTATCTTGTTATAGTGAAATATTAAAGTACAGCGATATATACAGTCAATTGCATTTGACCCCAATACACTGACACGGAGCGATTACTCCACAAAATAGTACAAACATTCACCGACTGCAATCCCGGAGATGGATTCGCTTTCTTTGTCTTCAGCCAACTGACTCACGCTGGGGAAATTAGACTTATTACCTTTTCTCGTTGTTTAATTTATGTGAATTAATCAATCACTTAATATCATGATTTCTGTTGTACATTATTGGTGTAATTTTTAATGATTCCCAAGAAGACGACGATATAAATTCATCTGTACTTTTTGTGAATATGTTACCCGATATTCCCGACAGTTCTATACCTATTTTAACGACTATTTTACAATCGATAGCGTTTACTTGCATTATTCCTTATTAATATTCATTATATCATGGTTGAAGTTAATTGTGATTAACTCACTGATGCCGCCGTTTTTCTTTCTGGAACAAAAAAATACATTTTAATTTTTTATCCTTTTGAAATTAACAAACAAACTGAACAAGCAAAACAGCTCACCTAATGGAAACAAAAGTAACATGCGCCTAAAGCACGAACAAAAACATAAACAACATAATGTGTTCTGCATGATAATACTGTGACACTCATGGCATCCCTCTTGTTACTACTGTGTCACAATTATTCCCTCTAAATTAAATGCGACCGCGCTCAAGTTACTAGTTTTTTTCTAATATATTTTATGAGACTACGGTACAGATACATAGACAGTGCCTATTTATTTTATTTTGTAACGTTTCTTGTGTTATTATTATATTATTTTTGGGAAATCTGTAAAGCAGACCTAAAATATGTAAGTAAAAACAAACAAACATGCAAGCAAGCAAACAAGCAAGCAAGCAGCTAAGAAGAAGCAAGCGAAGATACAGTCAGACACCGACAGCAACTTGGTTTAAAATTTAAATAACTAATAAGGTGACCGAGGAAAACTAGTAATCGTAGCCAGATAATGGACTTCTGTGAAGTCCATACACTGTAACTCCCATAGTGCCCTTCCTGCATTACTGTCCCTAAGAAGTAAGTTTTTTTTAATGGAATTTAAATACAAGAATTGGTCATGATGGTTTCCAGGGGGAACCACGTGGAGGTCGACCTAATAAGGCATATTGCTAGCAATGGGGCTATCAAACTCCATTGCTAACAATTCCTCCTCTCCCCCCCCCCCTCCCTCCCCCTAAGGAGTAAGTTATGACTACGTATGTTGTAATTTTACGGCCATATCATTTCTAATATAAACTAAATATTGTATAACTATACTCGCTCAAAGTACATTTTGAAATTGCTGGCTCATATATAAATTACTCTACATTAGATAAGTAGATACATGATCCCCCTCCCGTATGACGAAATAGGGAAATTATGCAAGAGATGTGACAATGAAGGTACTGTAAACACTAACAACAGGTATTAAGCTTACAACTTTAACACAGTTTTGTTAGAACAACGCCATTTAACATCTGCTCACTTTGTACTATATAGGCAATATACTTATTTACTAATATTATAAAATAATGTTACAATGACCTTGTTACTTTCTCTCTCCCTTTCTCTCTTGGCACTTTAACAGCTCGACCAATCATCATCAAATTGTCATCAAATTAATGAATCGGTATAAAGTATGGTATATGCCAAGTAACGATCCTCTTATACTATCTGCGTACCAAATTTTATTCAAATCTATCCAGCACATTTTACGTGAGAGTAATAAACATCCATACATCCGAACATCCTCACAAAATTTTGCATTGGAAAGAAGGAATTGTTGGTACTGGGGATTAGTAACCCCATTGCTACCAATACACCCTGTCAGGTCGATCCCTTTGCGGTTCCATCTGGACACCATCATGTTCTTTTCCAAGTGACTTTAACACGATTGGCTGGGGGAAAGGGATTGTTAGTAATGGAGACTAAAAATCTCATTGCTAGCAATATACCTAACCAGGTCGACCTCCACGCGGTTCCCCCTGGAAACTATCATGATTAATTCGTCATGATAGGCTGATTGGCCTGTTTTCATTCTCATCGATCACCCTTCACTGATGCTCCGCCAGCGTATCCCGTTAGCGCAAGTGGGGTTACCAATCCATTTTCATCCAACAAAAAAATACCCGATTGGCTAACTGACCTGCTTTTTCAATCTTACCAAACACTCCTTATTGGTGCCAGCATATACTGTTACCGCAGGCGTGATTACCATTCCATTATCATCCATTAAAAAAAAAACTTTCGCATCTATAATAGTAATACATTTTGAAAAGAAAAAGGACATACTCGTAAGTACTACTACTTTTTATACAGGATAATCAATATATCCCTTTCACGCAAACGAAGTCGCGGGTAAAGACGTGTAGGTCGTATTTAGAAAAGCTATTAAATTATAACAGAAATAAAACATATCGCGCTCTGACACAGTTCTGTGCGAGGAAAATTTATGTGAAATAATATTCTACTACCTATTATTACCTACGAGTCGAGAAGGAAAAAGGCCGTTTTATGTTGACATTTGTGCATTCTAGTGTGAACTACACTATGATCATGATTATATATTGATTTTAATGTGAACTTACTTTTCATAAAAAATATATTTTGATGATATTAAGTGACTTTACTGTTCGGACTCAATAAGATGTCAGCCTTAAGTTCAAGGCTATCCAACATCAAATTTTGGTCCTATTCAATCCCCAAGATAGCAAAAGGCTCGCCCGTCTGCCTCTTGGATTCTAATATGTTCAGTGAAATGAGGATGAATTCTCCACATTTCTATTTAAATATACCTAAAAATTTAACATATACATAAAGGAAGGTAATCCCCTAAGGGGGAGGGCTATATTCAATGGTGATCAGTTAAAGGCTAATATTCGTATGATGATATTGATGATAAAGAAAGATATTATTGTTAGTCAGTTTGAAATTTATTAAACGTTCTCAAAAAGTTAAAATATAATTGAATTAGCCTGTATTTCTTTATTTCTTATAAGTTGCTAGCTGTATTCTACGGCTTCACCTGCATAGATCAGATAAAGAATGTGCTAAGTTAGGATGTAAACCATCCGTGTACCAAATTTTATGGTATTCAAAACCGTTCAGTAATTTTTGCGTAATATAATAACAAACATTCATTCATCCATCTATTTATCGTTACATACTCTCGCATTTATAATATTAATAAAATATAACACGATATCATCACCAGTAAACTAATTATTAAACAAAAATAATTCTTGTTACACAAAATAAGAAAGAGGAATTGAATTGAAACCTTTTTGGTTGGCTTAAAAATGCAATTAACCTAAAAAAATTGCATTCGAGTCCATCATGTTCATTCTTTCACCGGTCACATTCATTGTTTAACTGCATTCTAAATTAAATTAACTGAAAGAGACTTTGTATAAAAGTCGTTTGTTCGGATATCTTTGTCTCAATTATATTTCTACCGTAAAACAGTTGTGTTTACATGGCTTTCTTTCGGTTTGAAGGGTGAGATATGGCAGTAAATTTACAGAGTACAGAGATATTAACACCTCAGTCCACAGGAATGGCAATGCATGAAGAATATCATGGGCGAAACAGTTATATTCATGATACTGTTCACGTCTATAGGCGACTGTTACTACTTTCCATCAGGTGGGCGGTCAGGTTGCCATTCTAAGTTGCGTAAATAAATTTAAATCGTTTTACTTTAAATCAAATAATAATTGAAAAACAAAAATTGAACACACAACATATATAGCATCTGTTTTATAACGTTACTGCTATTGGAAAAGTTGATGAACGGCCCCGAACAAGTCCGCTTACCCGAAGCCCGAAATTAAAACTGTCTGATGCTAAACACAGAGTGCGGGCCGGCCGTTTCAATGGTTTTGATGGTTTTCTGTTGATTTCTTTCTGCTATATTACAGTTCACAACTCATTATAACGTATATTAATGCAATGAATATCAATATATCTAATATTTGTAAAAAACGTTTGAATGTTTGCGTATTTGTTACTAAATCACACTTAACAGGTTCAACAGATTTTAATGAAACTTGTCACAAAGATATACCCTAAGTTAACACATAAGATACTTTACGTACTGATTCATACGGGCAGTTACGAGAATATATATAACAGTTGATTAAAAATAAATTAATAAATACATAATTGAAGATTGGGTTGTCAGAAATACTAAGATACAATCTTTAATCATATAAACGTAAATACTTTTAAATTCAAATAGCTTAGACAATAATAGTTATCTCACCTATATGCACCAAATTAAGTATTAAATAACAACAATACAATGGGTCTCAACTTTCGAAACTTATAACTAGTAAACTCTGCAACTCTATACAGATAAGATAGTTCTTTCAAAAGTTTGTATGTATTTTTAGAGTCTTCGGTATTTGCTGAAGCGAGAAATTGATTAAAGAGGCGGATTTGTTGAGTGAAAAGTTGCAGACGAGTTTTCCCCTAAATTTAAGGGGAAACAAATTAGGAAGTTTCTCTTATTGATAACAATGGGCAAGACGAGTGTTTTGTTCATCACAGCGGCAATATTAGACAAAATACAAAGCTAGATGAAGTACAACTAGCATTGTAATCGTGATGTCGTGAAGTTTTTGGCGGTGTCTGTAGCGTCAACGACGTATTGTGTCATTGAAGATTTCTAGTGGATAACTCAGACAACGATTGAACAACAGGAATTATTTTCAATCGACTTCAAAAAGGAAACTTTCAATTCGGTTAAGTTTGTAAGCAGATTTGTATTTTTTTTTTATCTGAAAGGATCTACTTACATATTGTTCCCATTAAAATCTTTATCAGAATCGGTTCAGTAGTTTAGTTTTTAAATCATAATAACTAGTTTTGACACAATTGAAGTCGGTTTTTTGTAAAACACAATGTTAATTATTATTATATTTAATATAGTCACGACAAATGCTTTACGGAGTAGGCCGAATATACCTTGTACTAAAGACCTCTATCTTTACACAGTATTGGTACCTCATCTCATGCAGGAAGTATACTATATAACTAATTTAATGCAATATAGCGGAAATACCCGTATATGAAAAGATTGATAAATGTAGAGGAAGCGAAAGAGATCTGTTTGAATTGAAGTAATTGACTTTCCATTGTTTCTGCCTACCCTAGCGAGAGAGAGGCATGACAGATATGTATATATGTATTTGTGAATTTTACTAAGTCATAAATAAAAAAGGGTTAAAAAACGTAATTGCGATAAAAAATTATTTAAATATTAACATGTTTACTTAAATAGCTGAAAATATTTTAATGGAATTTTATATGCAGATAGTAAGATATTTTTTTATCTAAATTCACAAGTATCAAAGAAACGAAGTGGAAATTAAATATATTAGGCTTGAGCTTAATATATTTAATTTTTGGTGTTCCTTCCTTGCTTACAATAAATTAAATAGAT